TTAGGAAACATAGAATTTGGTTATGACTGAAGTAAATATATGTTACCTTTAGCATGTAGTATCAAGTAACACTGTAGCAACACTTACAACATTATTTACTACCCAAACTGGAGCTTTAAACACTACATCCCTAACAAAAAATAACTTACCAGAGAGGACATTTAGTTCCGCCGCTGCCTTAGCTGGCTCTCCTACGCCGTTGTCCGCTACGCATTCATAAATAGATTTGCCTCTTTCAGAACGTACACGTTCTATACGGAGCACAGAGACACTGGACATTTCTTGAACGGTGTAGCGTTGGCTAGTAATTCGTCGGTTATCTTTCCGCCACTCAATAATGGGCTTAGGGTTTCCTAAAGCTGTACAGTCGAAACTTGCGAAGCTACCCCTGATAACAGTCTGGTTTCTGGGGGCTATCACAATTCGGGGAGGATCTGTAAAGGAAAAAATAAAATAAAATCAGAAAAAAACTTTGTCACTTTCTTGCTCTCTTTCTATAAAAGAATGGTGGATGAATCTCTTAAGTTGATCTCATTGGGAGCACGGCCTCCTCTTGTTCTTCAGAAATCATCTACTAATAAACTTCCACGGAGATATTGGTTTGTCTACTCTTACTGATATTTAACACCCACAGGTAAGTTGGTGTGCTAACTCTTCCTGATAGTTAACACCCAAAGAAAGGCAGGTGCTCTAACCCAAACTGATAGTTAATTCCCACATGAAGGTTTAGTATTATGTAGAACTAAATGTGATGAAAGGGAGGTTATTTGTACGTGTACATCAGTGAAATCTAGACTTCATATCGTTTACCCAGTATAGTTCGATAAAAAAGTCACACACAAGTATGGAGAACTCAAAAAATACCTTGTAAAAGAAGCCAACTCTCCTGTAGGAGTTTAGCTATCAGCAACAGTTAGCACACCTTCTCTGTATAATAGAAAGTATAGTTTTAAAATAATTCCATCTCCACTCCCATTCCTACTTCCACTGGAGTGTAGATTTTTAAAGAGAACAAAGGACAATGTCACGTCATGGCTAGCCACTCGTTGGTCGTCATTCTCCAAAACAGCATTGTTGCATAGTTGTTACATTTTCGTGCGAAATGATACACCGCTAGGTAAACACGTTCGTAATCCACTGAGCAGTCATTGGTAATACAAACAAACTTAAAAACTTCGGGATAGATATAGCAAAGATACGAATATTGCAAAATTCTCACTAGCAGAAAAATAACATTATTGATTGAAATGCAAATATAAACCGTAATTATACCAATAACAGTGTAAAAACTAATTTATATAACTATACTGAATTATTACTTTTATTTTAATCAATGACACAGTTTAACGACATTGTAAGGCATTCCTTCCCTGAAGAAGGCGAAAGCCAAACTTAGGTAAAAATAAAAAGTTTAAATATAAGCCGTAAATTTTTAACTAATGAAAACTTTTCGTGGTCGGTCTATAAACACCTGACAACAGCATGCCATATTGGGCTACTTATCTATGTGAACTCCTGTCTTATTCAAACGACACACGCTACAAGATATCTTACCCAATATGTGAATTTATTTAAAAAATGATGGCAACTTCAATGAATTGGTTTGGTAAATCAATGGCAACAATGAAATAAGTAATTCTCATTCTAATGGGTGTTCGAAAGAATCGGATTTTCTTCTTTGTTTAAGTACTGTAAAATATATATGTGTAAAAACATGTAACCATAGTAAAAGTTCATTCAGTTTTATACAAATTGGGTAAAAGCAGTAGTTCCCAGGTTAAGTTACTTGAGACTAGTTAAACTTTTATAGTATTTTCTTTTCGGTTTATACATATATACATACATATGCTACTTAAGAAAACTTATTTCCATTATTTCATTGTCCTTTTTGAATACATATATCTCTGCTCCTATACCATATAGTAAAATGGGAGTGTCACCATTCAACTGTCTCACCTCCTCCTCTTGTCTTTGCTGTTCTTGGATGACTAGGTGTTCCATCACCTTTCCGAGTCACAGCAGCCACCTGCACAGCGTAAGTTGTATCTGGCTGAAGCTCCGTAATGTTATAGGCTTCCACATCTTCATTACTTACATCTAACCTGATGGGTGCTCCAACCAAACTGTTGTTTTCATCCTTTTCTTGGATGTGGATCTGGTAACCTTTGATTAGCCCATTTTTATCTTTATTAGCTGGAGGTTTCCATTGAACTTGAAGACTGGTGCTACTAACAGGCTCCACTTTCACATTTCTTGGTTCACCTGGCACTACAAGCAAAAATGAAAACAGATAGGCTCATTTGATACAGTAAAGCTTCTCAAAGCTTAAGTAACTCTGAAGCTTTTAGCCATACAATAACCAATAAGATTTGAAATATAGCAGTATTACTTTTTCACAGAGACTCAGTTTCAGTGAGTTAACTAAAACACCATGTAAACAAACTTTCAATACATGAGATTTGAATCAGTTCTGAAATATAGCAGTATTACATTTTCATAGACAGTCAGTTTCAATGAGATAACCAAAATACCATGTAAACAAACTTTCAGTACATGAGATCTGAATCAGTTTTGAAGTAAACTGTCAGAATCTAAAATATATATATTATTCTTTTTGCCAATTGTCAAAATGAAGAGGTTTTCAGTTATATTTGTTAATAGTATAAATCTATACTATGTTGTTGTTGGGCTTACGATTCTTCTACAACAGGTGTTTGTGACTTGTTAGCGATAAATTCAACGATAATTAAACAGCACATACTTCACTTGTTTTCAAAACAATATATATATATATATATATTCGGAACAAGTTAAATGTATCTACAACAAACTCTTCAACACTATAGAACCACGCTTTGATGGAATAAATTATTTTTATCTCCTTTCTAGTGTTAGTCTTACGCTAACATATCAAACGTGAGGCCTATGTCAATCGTTAAGCCTATGGCTTCTACGCTAGTTAACTTCACGACGAACCTTTCCTTCTGTAATTTTACTTTCTTCTGCTATAATCTGTCTGCTGTTTCGCTTCGTTTTTCCTGGCAGTTATTTTGATTTAAAAGTAATTATCTCCTAAGAAATAATTATTAATCAAGGGTGCTCGAAGATTAAGCAATCCTCCTTCACCCACATTATATTGTTACGAAAGTTACATGACGCTGCTGGCGCATGCGCGACTGAATTTCTCGAATTATCTGGGAACTCCGCGAATTTTGGAGAAGCGAACAGTAGTTACGGTGAGGTTCATGTAATTTACGATTCCGTTTCAAGCTAGTGTGTGTTTTGCACTCATAGAGGGCAAAGTTATCGAGATTG